AACTATATGTTTGTTTACCATTCAAGTAATACGCGCTGTTCTATCCCGATCTATATAGTTATTCAGCGAAGAGTTTCTTTTTCTTGTTTAAAGTGAAAACGAAACTGAAATTACAGTTCAGTTATAAAATCAGAGTCTATAATTTAAAACTTAAAAATAATTTTAATAAACATAGTGTACCTTGGCTAATTTGAAAACAAAAGCCACTATATAGTTGCTAAGTTTAATGTTAAGATTATGATCCATGTGTTTTAACACACGTAATCATCCATATAATAGAGTGCGTTGTTGTGATGTGTGAAATGTCCTGAATGTAGTGTCCTCTGTTCTGTGTTGTGTCCTATTACGCTGTAACTCGTCTGCACCCTAGATCTTCATTCAAGCGAGACATCCATTCATACTTTGTTAGCCAAAATGAAGTCCAGATCTAGTCATGTTTATACTTTCTGTATTGTCAGTAACGTAGTCTTTTTTATCATAACGGGGATAATGAAGTATGTGTGCTCAGACTTCCCCTAACGTGGTACGCTCTACTGACTTGAATTCGGATTCGAACGCAAGACTTTTGGGTTTGTGGTATTGCTATTTACCTCCAGGCCAACCCTGTGGTTCATGGGTAGTAAAGATATAAAATCTTCTATAGAACTTAAGCAATTATATGTTTAAAAAAACCAACATAATGTAAAGTATTGATTTTACGACATTGCTATAGAAAATCTTCTTTGCTATCTGCTTTGCATGATCGATTGCAGACAGTGGTAACATTTGCAGCTGTAGAAATTATTGTGGTATATCGGAAGGATGTGGGTAACTGGTAAATGTTGCGACACTCGGTGTAGGCATACTAACGTGAACAGCTTAACAACTGTTAGAATCGAGACTTTGATTACTGTTTCGATTATTGTAAAGATTAGTATATAAGATTTGGTATCGATCATTGAAAAAAAATAAAACGTAAAACCTTTATGTGTTAAATTAAGTAAAATGTCCACCATACATAACTCTACAATTAAGTAAAGCCAAATACAATACATTATTCATGGGCGGAAATACTTTAATTTAAAGATCATTAACTGATCACCAGAGGCGTAGCGAGGGGGGGGGGGCGGGGGGGGACATATGTCCCCGGGCGCCGACCTTAGGGGGGGGCGCCAAATCGAAAGTTTGAGGGGGGGGTGCAAATGAAAAGTTCGAGGGGGGTGCAAATCGAAAGTTTGAGGGGGGGGGGGTGCAAATGAAAAGTTCGAGGGGGGGGGGGTGCAAATCGAAAATTTGCTCCCGATGGGGGCGCCAAATTGAAAGTATGTCCCCGGGCGCCGGGAAGGGTCGCTACGCCTCTGCTGATCACCCTACAATGCAATTTTATTCAGCCTTTATGTATTGGCTTAAATGTATTATGTAACGTCGCGCTCTGTAGTAAATGTATAGCCTTACGTCATAATCAGGTTTATATGTATGTTAACGTGATGTAATGTGGTGATAAATCATTATCAAGTTATCAAGTCACACATTTTACTCACAGTGGAGGAGGGGAGGGGGAAGAGGGGGGAATGGTGGACTCTTGTTAAAATATATATTGCCCCAGTAAGTGAAATAAACCGGGAGTGATCTCCCCTAAACTTTCTCGAATATTCTTATATAAAACAACAGGGGATGGGAACTCGGGCTATAATCGAGAAAGTAAAAAGTAAAGATACTCTTCTGAGCAATTATCTTCATTTGGAAAATGAAATAGAGTTCACCTGTTTCCGTGACTTTGGCGCTACTTTCAAACAAACATAGTAGCTACGAATTTTTGTTATTTCTTTAAAAAATAAATTAAAAAATAGCTAAAATTAAATTTTGGCTCTTTACTCTCCATGTTGACTTTCTATTATAACTGATTCCAAATGCTGAGAAATATGCACATTTAAGAAGAAAATCTTCTTTCTTAATTGCAATTTTGGACGGTATTTCATTTAACACAAATACTACATGTAAATCTGTTATGCCCTATCTAAACATTTAAGCCAGATTTCAGTCTGCTTTTCTTTTAAGGGTTGCTTCCGTATCCTTTGTCCATCCAAAACGTAAACTGACGTGGGTATTAAGTTTAAAGTTTTGCGGTATAGGCCACAACTTTTTATAATGTTATCATGGCTCTGAATCCAATTAGCTCCAGTCTTACCCACTGGCCGGCGTTTCCTTCTAGCATATCAACAGCAGTGAGTGAACAGTAAAGTCTAGGACAGTCAGTGTTTCTTCCACACTTTTTTCTCCAGGGAGGGCAGTTGATTTTTTTTTTTTGGGGGGGGGGGGGGGGTGTGGCAGACAACATATTCCGGTTGAGGGGGGGGGGAAGGGGGGAAAATTTGTTAAAATTATGTTTTCTATATAAATTCCATCTCGTTCGGGGGGGGGGGGGGGGGTTGGACTGAGACTGAGTATGTCAAGCCTATTTTTTAAAGTAAGCCAGTGGCTTACTTATTTATATATAAATATATATATATATATATATATATATATATATATATATATATATATATATATATATATATATATATATATATATATATATATATATATATATATATATATATATATATGGGTGTGTGTTTAAGCTTTAATCATGCAGACTTAAGAGTAACATAGCTTATAATTTTATTAATACCGCAAGAGGTAGAATGGTTTTCTCTGCAGTTATCACGTTTATGTCATGGTGTCATCCCCACCCACTTGTAATAATTGTAGATTTTTACGTTAAAGACTGTATAACTTTAATTTCTCATAAATGGAACTGGCAAAAAACCATTTTTCTTGTGTACATTTTGCAATGTTTTTTTTTACTTGGGTAGCCCTTTAAATGATGTCACCCTTTGCGGTCCGCACCCCCCGCTCTGCCCTCGCTACGCCTCTGATTGAAACCTAGCCAAAACCTTAACCTTGAGAACGTAAACCAAACAGTGGAACTAACCACAACATAAGAATGTACAGTGTTTCTTTCAGGCATCTTTTCAGGTGAGAAAAGAAGGGAGGGGGGGGGAGGCAATGACACCTCTCCCCATCCGGCTACAAAATATAAAACAACATAACACAACACCCCCACTCCCTAGGAAGTTTCTAGTACCCATTCCCCGCCACCATGTGTCTATCGTCACAAAGAATACAAAAAATTCCCAGATAGTAAATAACCTAATTCTAAAAATTTTACTGTATTGTTTGAAAAAAAAAACTAGCTAATTTTAATATTAAGGGTCAAAGGGAAACAATTCAAAAAACTATTTTACCTGGCTTTGTGTTTTGGGTATTTTCCCTAAAGAAGTGCAACTTTGTGAATTTTTTTTTTGTCTTTAAATTGCAATGTGGTATGGTCAGATATAATATTTGATGGTTTTGGTATATAAAAGTAGATTTTTTAAATTTTAATGCGTATAACGTAATAAAAATGTCAAGCGTCAAAACAAATGCTGGGCTTAATTTAAATAAACCGGGAGTGATCTCCCCTAAACTTTCTCGAATATTCTAATATAAAATAACAGGGGATGGGAACTCGGGCTATAGACATGATTTTTAATCCATTTTAAATACTTAAAGTTTTAAAAATAGAATAAAATCTCGTAGACAAATTAATTGCACACCAAGTGAACGCGAAATAAAAAAGCGCATAATAGTGCGCAATATTATTATTACTTTTAAAATTTACATTAGTTTTTAGAGAAATCGGAAGTAGCGTAAAGTACTACTTCCAGTCAACGGAAATGACTCAAAATTTAATAGAAGGTAGAGAATTAGATATTTTACTTACGTATGAAATTTCATTTATCTATCTGAAATAGTACTCAAGTTATAGGCTTTTGAAAAATTCAAAGTAGGAAAAGTACCACTTCCGGTTAACGGAAATCGCTCAAAAGTTGATACGGATCTACGATTTTGATTAAATACTTATATATGAAATTTCATCAACCTAGCTGTAACGGTACTCAAGTTATCGTGTTTACACGCGGACACACACACACACACACAGACACACAGACATACGGACAAGATTGCAAAATTATGTTTTTCCGTATCAGTGAGATGCAAAACGTCGAGATTTGCAAAAATCTCGATTTTTTTTTTTTTGCACGATTACAAGACTTTCTCTATACTTCGTATATACGAGAAAGTAAAAATGCAAATTGATTTTTAGAAATGTGCACATAGACAGCAAGCATTAAAATACCGTAAGCCTGTATCATTGATGCATTTTTTTCTAAGATTGCTTTTTGATAAGACTATAATAAATAATAATGTATTTTGTTTAACTCTACCTCAGCTGTCCCATGTGACTTGGGCTAAAACGGGAAAAAAGACGACGATGATGATAAACGTGTTTATTTAAAAAATCTTAATGATATGTAATGTAAATGGATATTTGAAATTATGTCTTATATAAATATGCATTTAAAAAAATAAATAATAATAATACAATAACGTTAGTTTCCAATGATCATGAGTCTTTGCGTACAATATTTAACAACTCTTATTTATATTGCTGGAACATTATAATAATGCATCTTTGATTTTATCTGTGTAATCAACCAAGAAATATGTTGAGATATGATACGCCAGGCCAAAACCCCGCACCATAAAGGTTGCTTGTACTTCCTCGAATCTTATAATCTTTCTTCTAAAGAAAGACATCATTGCCTTATGTGTATCTACAAAGATAAACAGGAAATAATAAACATGTATCAACATTTTAACTGTAACATGACTTTTAGAAATCAAGTGTATGTGACTTATTACAAAGGTAGAAACCTACACGATGCTCGATGTTTCCTAACACGATATCAGTTTTTATTATTCGATTACAAAAATAAATGCATAACATGAAACTGAGCTTTATTCTGAACATAAAATATATGATATACACGAAATTAGTCATAATCAGTTTTGATTATCCTTAATCCGATTAAATTATTGATTCATGATCCACACCTCGTTATCAACATTATGTCTTATGGACGCCTATGGACGAATTATTCTTGGTAACTTGAGTCCGCACGTGTGGCTTGCATCACGTGACTGACAGCATCTTTCAACCGGAAGTAGCTGAAACACATGCAGCAGCTAAGCGACTCCTCGTAGACGGTGTTGAGGCTATTCAGAGCCTGATAGGCTCGCTGGACTTCTCCGTGGTAGTAGCTGTTTCGTCTCTGTAGCTTGTTCAGGTGTTTTTTGAGTTGTGCGTCTGTCATCACGTCTTCGTCTGGTGGATTAAGGATTAAGATTACTAATTAAAAATAAAGAAATGTTATTCTATTGGTGTTGTTTTCGTAAAAGGTTATTAATTCAGATAGCCTCATCTCTATTTTAGTTTATTTTATTTTTATCTATCTATCTCTTTTACAATTTAATATGTATCATTCTTCTACGAAATGAATTATATAATCGATATATGTCTCTTTTATCTGCATCGAATACACTATGATTGAATAAAATATAGTTTTTATCTTTAAAATAAAATAATTTAGACTGCATCATGTTCATCTATTAAATATATGTTGATGTATCTTTGTAAAAAGATTTTGTCTCAAAAATCAAAATAAAATTTAGAAAGTATGTTAAAATAATTGCTAAATTATCCATGGGACAAATACTTAACTCATGTCATGATAGAAAGAAGATTTGACCTTAATAGTTAAACACTTCATGACACTAAAGATAACTAGGATTTTTAATCTTTCGTATTATACTAAAATTGAATAACAGTATCTATATACATAATTCTCTTCTCGGATACCCTAGAAAACACCAAGCTGTAAGAGCGCCTCATAGCAGCCCCTTCTCTTCCTCCCACCCCCACATGGTCTGGTGAGCTGTGGTTCAAGCTAAATGTTTACAATCGTAGAGCCGGGTTTAGTGACGGCTATTAGGGGCAGATAATTTAGTTTGAAATGATTTTAAACTTAGGGGAGGTTACTAAGATGAGGCTGCTTTCACGGGGGGGGGGGGGGGAGTGTAGGGTAGGTGTTGGCGGAAATGAGGGTGGGGGTAGTATCGTCCTTAAAGACCAACTGATAGTGTTTTAAAGCAAATATTTTCAGTGGCAGCACTGGTACTGTCGAATTTACAAATTATGAATTACTGTAAATAAAACAACTAAATAGCGGCGTATGATACGCCGCGGGTCGGCTCGTACTTTGTATTTAGTTAACAAGACAATTTAAACATGATGATAAGCTTAAAGGTGTTTTGGTCTTGTTTATACCTTTCTCTCATTGGCTGAAGTCGAACAAAAATTCAGAATACCTCACCCTATAAAGTCAAGACATGATTTACCAGCCAATCAACGTCTTCTTCAAAATGAAATATGTATATTAGTTTATTACTTCCCTTTAACAAAGGAATATAATCAAATAAATGTAGAGCTACGATTTAATGACGAACTATAATGTCCTCATTAATCCCCTTTATTTTATGTAACCACTTGTTAGATGCCATCTCGCGCCCATGCCCTGCTTAAACCCAGAATTCTATCAATGTCCCTGTACGTACCCTCTAGCTTCTCATCTATAAGGCCGGATATTTTCTTCAGTTTTCTGATCGCTTGCCTCCCTTTGCTCAGTGGTTTTCTCCCCGTTATCAGAGGACGACTCTCATTCTCATGGCTGTCGTCTTCATCGGCTGTCTCGTTGTTTTTTTTAATCAGCTCAATCTTATCAAAGAAGGCCTTTAAGCCCGTTCTGAAGACATGAAAATATGTACCTTTTAAGTAAAACATGATAATATCCAGATTGAATGTTACATTTCCCTAAATAAAATTAGAGAAAACAATCATAACAAAATGTATCACATTTATTTTGCAATCTCCACTTAGATAACAACAATTTAAAAAAAAAAAATTAAGAATAAAAATTAACCCTTTTACGTGAAGTTGAATACAACAGTGGTTGATTTATCACTAGTTCTATAATCGATACATGTGTACGATGCAACCACGTTCTTTTCGAATGATACATAGAGTTTATATTAAGTTTAAAAACCTACGTTTCGTTAAATTGTAGTGTAGCGATCGACGAATCGTCCAACCATTGACGAATATTTTTTAGATTTTCTGCAGAGACAATCTGTCTGACAAGTCGAGGGAGTCGACAGGAACGAAATAAGGGACAAGAGCCTGTGCGAGATTTAGATACAAATAATTAAATGAATCATATACTATCGGTATCGGCTAGGCGTCGCCCTAGCAATACAAACTTAGTCTAAATGTAAGTTTGAATTCTAACATGTAGTGTGTTTTAAAATAAATATTAAAACTTTTAAAAATTCAGCGTGTAAAGAAATGAACAGAAAGCTCAGAACACCATTACAAAAACATAAACCTAATCCTATAGGATTACCTACACATCACATGCCATTTTTTGATAACATAGTTTATTTTTCAAAGGTGTTAGAATTTTAAAAAATAAAAGCTGGAGTGAGCTCCCCTTAACTTTCTTGTATATTCTTATATAACAATAAGTTTTGAGAAGGTAATTTGGGACCAAGAAAAAAAATAGTAAAGTTTCCTCTCTAGGAAACTAGCGACCCATTGTGCAGATTAAGTAGAGTTCATATGTTTCTTGACCTTGACATATGAAGAGATAATGTGGTCAGCACTTTGCCCAGCCGCCTTTACTTTTCTTTACGTGAGTTAGGTACCCATCAGATTTAGGTGGATTCACGGACGTTCACCTGACAAAAACCCGGATTTAAAGTTTTTCGGGTTAGCAGTCTAGCACTCTACTGCCAGGCCACTCCGTTCTATAGATTTGAGACAAAACACCCTTTTTATATTTGAGAAATCACGGTTAAAGGATTTAAATGTAGAACACAACTGACATTGAATTTCTATGAAACCGTCGTTGATGTCCTTGAGAAGTTCTCTCATCGATGTGTGTTTCCCTTGCAGGTCCTTGCTAACGCTGACAACTTTCCTGTGTAGAATCTTGAGCTCGTGTCGGGAGAGATATTCTATACAAATTAAAAATAAAATGGGAGTAATCTCCCCTAAAGGTTTTCAAATAATATTTCATAAATAATCGTGTTCACGGACAGTCAAGAAAAAACATCCATACACGTACACGTACACGTACACATACACATCCACGTCCACGTACACGTCCACGTCCACGTCCACGTACACGTACACGTACACGTACACGTACACGTACACGTACACGTACACGTACACGTACACACAGGGGAGTAGCAAGGGGGGGGGGAGGCCGGGGTGCGGATTGCACCGGGTGACACCATTTAGGGGGGGGGGGTGTGACACCAAGGCAAAAAATAGTAAAATATATAGAGAAAAACTTGAGAGGGGGGATGCAAATCGAAAGTTTGTGGGGGGGGGGGGGTGCAAATCGAAAACTTGAAAGTTTGTCCCCGGAAAGCGTCGCTACGCCTGTGCGGGGTGACACCATTAAGTGCCGCACCGGGTAACACCCGACCTCGCTATGCCACTGCATACATATGTACACATACACATACGCATACGCATACACATACGCATACGCATACGCATACGCATACGCATACGCATACGCATACAAATACACATACACATACACATACACATACACATACACATACACATACACATACACAAACACAAACACATACACATACACATACACATACACATACACATACACATACACATACACATACACATACACATACACATACACATACACATACACATACACATACACATACACATACACATACACATACACATACACATACACATACACATACACATACACATACACATACACATACACATACACATACACATACACATACACATACACATACACATACACATACACATACACATACACATACACATACACATACACATACACATACACATACACATACACATACACATACACATACACATACACATACACATACACATACACATACACATACACATACACATACACATACACATACACATACACATACACATACACATACACATACACATACACATACACATACACATACACATACACATACACATACACATACACATACACATACACATACACATACACATACACATACACATACACATACACATACACATACACATACACATACACATACACATACACATACACATACACATACACATACACATACACAAACACACGACCGAAAATTGCAAAACCAAGTTTTTTCCGACTCAAGGAGGTGTTAAAAAATCAAGTTTTGAGAAAATCTCGATTTCAATTTTTGAATTGTTACAATACTTTGTCCAAACTTCGTGTACGAGAAAGTAATGATAACAATAAGTAGCTTTATGTACAAACATTGTAAAGGGTATTATATGTTCTTTTATTTTACTAAACTAAATAAGGTATGTGAAACTATTTATGTGAACTAATTTTCGTTCTATATAGGCCTAAATGTCCGTTAATGGTTGCAGAATTTAGGGTTTAGGAAAAAAAATAAAACAAACATCTGAGTTTATCCTACAATTATAATACTAACAAGTGCATTTTATACACATAACTTAAGCTATCGTGTTCACAAACAGAGAGACAGACAAACACACACACATGGACACTTAGACATACGGACATACATTTCAAAACCGCCACCCCCCCCCCCCCCCCCACACCCCCCACCACCCCCCCCCCCCCCCCCCCCCCCCCCCCCCCCCCCCCCCCCCCCCTCCCGAACGAAATGAAATTTATATAATTTATATAGAAAAATATATACTTTTAACAGTGTCCGCCCCCCCCCCGAAGAAAGTCTACCGCCCCCCCCCCCCGAACATTTCAAGTGCCCCCCCCCCCCCCCCCCCGGAGAAAAAAGTCTGGAAGAAACACTGTGCACGATTACTATATTTTCTACATACTACTCTTATAGGTAAAAGTAAAAATTAGAGGCAAAAATTAAATAATATTCCTATAGGTAAGGTTTAAGTGTGCAGTTCCGTAAATTTTTGATTGATTTTTTTAAATTTTCAAATATTTTCCAAAAAGACAAAATATCAAGAAAAAAAAAACAATATAAAGAAATATTAGTGGAAGATTTTCTATAGTAAATAAGTGTAGCAGAGGCAAACTATTTCGAGTGTGAGTGTGTGTTTATGCTAGTGTGTGTATGTGTGTGGTGTACGTGTGTGTGTGTGTGTGAGCATGTGGTGTGTGTGACAAAATTTTGAACCTCCCACATCAGATGATCCTGGCTACGCTGCTGAAGGTATCAATTGAGCTCAAGCCGAAAGAACATAAAGCATCGGAAATGATGTCTCAAATAGGTCATATTGTAATTGTTTTTATCGAGAGCGGTGTTTTTATCGAGAGCGGTCTGCTTTCTAGTCAACTATTTACTGTGGATTGAAAATGGAATCAACGCTTCTCTAATTGCACAATTAAAAGTGTGTTTCTACATTGGAATATATCTTGTATTTCTATTACAGACTTTAAATAAATTCTGATTTATAAATTCTTTGCAAAAAGAAACGTTTTCCAGATAAGTGTTAAACATTTTCTGATCTCACGATATAAATAAACAAATAGTAAACTTCGCTGAGTCTTAGTAGTATGTAGATTGGTTAACAACATAGAACGACACATAAAAACTAATAATATATTATTAAGCTCAAACAAATTATATATAAATATATATATATATATATATATGTATATATATATATATATATATATATATATATATATATATATATATATATATATGTATGTATATATATATATATTTGTTTTAGCTTAATAATATATCAATCCTTTATGATCAAACCCTGGAGAAAAGAATATAATATTTAAACTAACCAGGAAATAAATTAATATGACGAACCTGCCATTATACATTAGGCATGAACTATTATCTACACCACATTAGGTTGATCACATCCGACACGCTGTAATCTGTTAGGGGAGTAAACTGGTTGGGTTCGGTGGACTGTGGACACTTTTATCTGGTTTTTTGCTGCTTGGGGGTGGTGGTGGCATTGGCGTATCTAAAGGCTGGGGGTGGGGGGATTCAGACGCCTACCCTAGGGTGTACAAAAAAATAAGGACAATTTAAAAGTGTATTACTCAAGTGCTCCATTACTAAATTATATATAGTCAAAGTTAAAAAAAACAACAAGACCGTTACATGGCTTTACAGAGAGATTAAACTTTTTCTCTATTGATTGTGTAACAGCAATATGAATATCGTTAACACCGGTACACATCGCGTTACATAATATTCATATCATGGGGACGGTCCTCTTTCGTTTTCTTAATTAAATTGGATGGATTTTCACCGGAGTGAAATCTAGAAACTAGAAGAAAAAAATAATTACGTGAGTTTTGTCAAGTAATTATTACAATGTTAAGAAATGCCATGTCTAGTTTCTAGTAGTTAAATAGTATTTTCAATCAAATTTTCCATCAATGTTCTTGATAGATATGCATTTATTATATAACTCAGAAATAAATATCATGACATTAAAACTAGTTATCATGGCGAGGGGATGGATTTGTATCCCTAATTAAAAATGCAACCAGAATTTATGTGTAAACTAATAAACAAATATAATACATATTTTATCAATTTTATGTCGTTAACTTAGATTTTATTATTAGAAACTACTTTTTGTGATGGATTACATTTTACAGCGGCCTTTTCCCTTTAGCATCTCTCAACTGATATACATCTAAAAAATGAGGGTTTTATTGTTTGTCCCATATTATAATCTTTCCTATCCAGCAGTAAATAATTTGTCAGTCTAATTAATTTCTATAGTGTTTTCGAACGTCAAGCATAAACTATTTAAAATATATTAAAGCAATTGAACCATACATAAATACTATTTAAGAATGTAGTTTCATATTTATAAATACTTTGCTGACAATTTTGTTAAATTTGTAAATATGTCGATTTAAATGTTTAGTATTGTTAGTAAGAACATAATCTGATATACAAAAATATGCACTGTGGGACAATTTTATTTGTGCTAGATTTAATTATTTATAGTACTACTGTAATATGTGGACAATAGTTACACTGTGTTGTGCTTGGATCGTACACTTTTAATCAAGACAATAACCATTCTAGGACACATAATAAGCGATAAGAAAGCAGATAACGGTAAAGTATGACTCTAGTTTATTAATAGATTTTCAATGCAAGCCAATTTTCTTAAAATACTTATGATCGTGTAGCCTCTGGTTATGCAATCGTTATATTTAGGCAACTGATGTCATTTTGTCAATCTCACATGAGATATTTTTACAGATAAACTTAGTATCTGTGATAGCAAAATAAACGCTTATAAACACCATGGTTCGGTTATCAAAACTCCACACATATCTTCTGCGTCATGCTTATAAATGTAACTGTTATCAGTATAGATAAATACATCTAAAATTAAGTCTTTGAAACTGCGCATTTCTAATTTCACTTTTACTAAAAGTGAAATTAGAAATGTTTTTATAACAAACTGTGCGAATATTTAATAATCATTACATTATTAAGAAGTCACTATAAAATGGCGCGAAAAATCGATCTTTGCTAACACGATTTGTTCTCCTATATTGTTAGGGTCAAGATGACATTTTAATGATGGAATAGACAGAGCTAACATTAAAGTGCATAAACAAGAGGTAAAATTATAAAAACAGGTGAGAATTTAATTAATTATTAATTATTACCTTGTAATGACGCTGAATTCCTTGAGTAAGAAAATAAAATCAAACACAAAGAAATTCTACGGGCGGCCAGTCTACATGTCTCAATGCCTTTTCAAAAGTACACACCGTGTAAAAGTGGCAAGCTGCTTTAATAGCTTACACGGACAACGAGTTCAACCGGAAGTCAGCCAAATCGCTCCAACGTGGTTGCCATAAATTCCTTAGCAATGGCGGTTGTTAGGCACGCCGCGAAACAACCTACTTTTAGTTTAGTTTTGTTTTTACCATTTAGTATACAGAGTAAAATGGATCTACGACAAATTCCCGAATGACTTCCCCGAATGCCGTTAGCTCGAATTATGAAACAAAATTTCCTTCGACATAGGCTTTAAGTGTGCCAAAAGCAATATGATAACACGTTAAGAAAAGAAATTTCATTCAGAACCTAATTCCGTAAATAAAGGGTTAAACCTCGCCCCGTAGAAACCATTTCTTTTAAATAAAAGTTAGCGTGCCTTCGATGATTTTAATCAATCCGGCTCAACCTTACGCAAAAACCGTCATTTTTCTCAGTGATTACTACAGCTATGATTGGAATTTAATCGCCAATATAGTGTAGCGGGAATAAACTAATTCACAATTGTGTTAAAGCTCTTTAAAAAAATCTATGGACCTAAGCAAAAAAAAAATATAGGGGGAGGGGGACGCTGACAACCCCCCACCCCCCAAACTCCGCCCCCCCCCCCCCCCCCCCCCAACAAAATATTTAAAATGTATAAGCATTAAAAAAACCAGTACATTTTTATGACGGTCTAAGGGACATAATCCAGAAAATTAATTAAGTTGTACTTAAGCTGTGGTACTTTTCCTTTAAAATAGGAAACGTCTTTGTGAAATTGATTTATTTTTAAGTTTTAATTTAACATTGTATGTATTGCTCTAGAATACTACACGTTTGTAATTTTTATCGTTAAACATGTATAATGTAATAAAAAATGCAAGTGGCACAACTAATAATAGGCTTCATAAAAAAACATATTTAATAAAAAAAGTCCTAAGAATCAAGAGTAATGTATCTACGTTGATATGGTTAATTGTGATTTCTAAAGCAAGAGACTAAAATAATTGAATACAAAGTAAATTACGTGTCTGAGGCGAAAAAAAAAAAAAGACTAAAATAATCATTGGTGTACTTATAAAAACAATCTGTATCTCTTGGTCACCTATTATTTAATCACAATATTACAGAAAGGAAACGCTTATGTATTTTGTTAACGCATTCAGATGATCGTTATAATGTACTTATTTCTTAACAATAGGCTACATATAGATTATACATTTGATCAACACAAATAGTAAATTTATCCCAGCAGAAATATTGATGAGTATTTAACAAGGTAAAATTTCTACACGTCATGTTTAAACTGTTGCCGTAAAGACCACTTCTTTTAAATAAAAGTTAGGGTTTCTTCGAAGCTGGCTAAATCTTATCCAATAACCGTAATTTCTATCTATAAATTGCTACCGCAGTGTTTGGACAGTAATCGCCCACGACAGTGAGAGTAATCGCCCATGATAGTTTAACGAGAAGAACAATTTTGTCACAGCTCTGAATGGAATATACTGATATCTACCAAAATCATTACCTTTAGCTAGTCAGAATCGTAGCCTTAACCCTCATCCTACAATGAACCTCACCCTAACCTCAATCCACAAAAATACAGTACAATATTTATATTAAGTTTCACAACATTTTTTCCCACGGAAACTGGTAAAATTAAATATAATCTACTTTAATAAGAAACGCTGTCCTAATCTTGACTTAACTCTCGTATCTCGCGTCCGCACGTGTGACTTGCATCACGTGACTGGCAGCATCTTGCAACCGGAAGTAGCTGAAGCACATGCAGGAGCTGAGAGACTCCGCATAGACGGTGTTGAGGCTATTCGGAGCCTGATACGCTCGCTGGAACTCTCCGTGGTAGTAGCTGTTTCGTCTCTGTAGCCTATTAAGACGCTGTTTAAGTTCCTCGTCTGACAACACGTCTTCGTCTGGTGGATTAAGGATTAAGATAGGATTAATGATAGAAAGCAGAGTTTCGTTCAGACACATGTCGCATGGTAGAAACTGTACTTTGTTTTTTTTAAAATTAAATCTGTTGTTTCCTTGAAATAAAGTAAGTTCATTTTCACATTTTTTTAAGCTGCATCACAATGATAAATTTGGTAGTTTAATAGTTCATGCAACGATGAATCAAATGTAGACATTTTATACATTTTATGAATTGTCGTATTATATTTGAAACACGAATCATAAGTTACTGTAAATTTCGTTTACAAGACAGCTCAATATTATACATATTGATCTGTAATCGGCCATAAGTGACATCGAGATCTAAAAGTAGAATTTACGACTGCTAACGCAAAAAGTCTCGATTTTGGATCCCGGTTTCGAGTCAACCCAAAGTTTATAAATACTTCATATAAAAATAAAGCGGTTTGGCATATAGTTGACCATTACCGATGTCATTGAAAAACATGAACTCGATTGGAAATTAAAATCGGCAAATTTCTTTTTCAGTAGACAAGTGGCGTAATCCAATAAAACACTTTAATTGTAGTTACGCCGTGGTATCGTCCCTGGATAAATACATCTTTGTGAATTTTTTTAATTATTATGTTTTAATGTTTAACGAGCTTACCCGCGCCGTAAGCATACGCCGCTATTTAGTTGTTTTATTTTCTACTTCTTAATATTTCAACACTTCCAAAGCTGCGACGAAAAATATTTTGCTTTAAAACACTATCAGTAGCTCGTGAAGGACGATTTTTATTCTCACACTCCTTCCCCCCTCCCCCACCCACGTGAAAGCAGCCGTCCGTGACGACAGTTTAAAGACGACAATGAAATGATCAAAAAGATTTGTTTCAAATCGATTGAAAACTGAATTATCTGACCCTAATAGCCGTCACTAAAATTCTACCTGACTCTACGATATATATATAATTCTCTTCTTAGATACCCTAGAAAACACCAAGCTGTAAGCGCGCCTAGCAGCCCCCTCTCTTCCTCTCTAGGCTTATCCCTACCACCCCCACCCCGATATGGTCTGGCGAGCTGTGGTTCACGCTAAATGTTTACAATCGTAGAGCCGGGTTTTGTGACGGCTATTTGGGGCAGATAATTTAGTTTAAAACGATTTTAAACTTAGGGGAGGTAACAAAGAGGAGGCTGCTTTCACGGGGGGTGTAGGGTAGGGGTCGGGGGAAAGGAGGGTGGGAAGGGGTTATCGTCCTTTACGACCTACTGATAGTGTTTTAAAGCAAATATTTTCAGTGGCAGCGTTGGTACTGTCGAATTAACAAATTATGAACTACTGGAAAGTAGAAAATGTAACAACTAAACAGCGGCTTACGATACGCCGCGGTTCGGCTCGTTGTAAATGTTTGGCTTGAACCACAGTGCACAAGACTGTTGGGGTGAGGGGGGGTAGCTATATGCTTAGAGAGCGGTGGAGTAACGGCGTGCGTTTACGTGGTGTCTCGCATGGTCCCCATGAAGATAATTATATATAGAAATACTCAAAACAGAAGAATTTGTTTTTCAAATACACACTGCCCAATGTTCGTTGGTCGCCAACGATAAGATAATGTTAATGCTGCCACGTTTTTATTGTTCTTTACAACACCTCTCACCACACTTAGCACTTAACACACACCACCACATACCGTGAAGTAACATAACACTTCAATATCATTTCCGATGTGTGTATGTGTATGTGTAGTGTAGTGTATATGTATGTGTATGTGTATGTGTATGTGTATGTGTATGTGTATGTGTATGTGTATGTGTATGTGTATGTGTATGTGTATGTGTATGTGTATGTGTATGTGTATGTGTATGTGTATGTGTATGTGTATGTGTATGTGTATGTGTATGTGTATGTGTATGTGTATGTGTATGTGTATGTGTATGTGTATGTGTATGTGTATGTGTATGTGTATGTGTATGTGTATGTGTATGTGTATGTGTATGTGTATGTGTATGTGTATGTGTATGTGTATGTGTATGTGTATGTGTATGTGTATGTGTATGTGTATGTGTATGTGTATGTGTATGTGTATGTGTATGTGTATGTGTATGTGTATGTGTATGTGTATGTGTATGTGTATGTGTATGTGTATGTGTATGTGTATGTGTATGTGTATGTGTATGTGTATGTGTATGTGTATGTGTATGTGTATGTGTATGTGTATGTGTATGTGTATGTGTATGTGTATGTGTATGTGTATGTGTATGTGTATGTGTATGTGTATGTGTATGTGTATGTGTATGTGTATGTGTATGTGTATGTGTATGTGTATGTGTATGTGTATGTGTATGTGTATGTGTATGTGTATGTGTATGTGTATGTGCATGTGCATGTGCATGTGCATGTGCATGTGCATGTGCATGTGCATGTGCATGTGAATGTGAATGTGAATGTGAATGTGAATGTGAATGTGAATGTGAAAGTGAATGTGTATGTGTATCTGCATGTGAATGGTTATGTACATTGGTATGGGTATTTTGTAGGGTAATTGGCATGTGTATGTGTACCTGCATGTGCGTAAATTATGTGTATAGGTATGGGTATCGGCATGTGTATGTGTATCAGTCAATGTTCGTCTTGGTCTTGGAAGTACTATTTTATTTTATAAAAATTATAATATTGTAAGGTGGTCGATGTCATTACATGTGCTGTAATTTTGATGGTGGTTGATTTAATAAAATGTGATTTTGTTTAGTTGAGTGATTGATTCAATTAATGAGATCCTTTCAACTTCTTCTTGCTACAGCAGACGAGGAAAATATTTAAAAAAAACAACATCAAAATCGTAGTGTTTTTAATCTATTTATTAAACTTGAACTTTATCTAGCGTATGTTACTAAAAAATAAAAATAAAGCTACACATAAAGCTGTTAACTGACATATAAAAAAACATAAAAATATATAAAGGAACAATTTAAAAAAAAAAACAAATAACATTTAACTATCATTGAACAGCTCGTCGGTATTTAAAAATCTATTTTTTGAAAACCCAGTAAAATGTATAAAAGAAACAACAAGAAAATACGCTTTTAAAAATATCTTTAGCACGCGTGGGCAACTGTAAATACTTGCCCGCCACTTTGTTTTAACCCTTGTTATAAATGTATTAACACCGTATTTTAAATCCTAAAGTGGTTTTCAGTGCACTAAAAAAAATCTTAAATGGGATAAAAATAAAATCGAAAAATAACTGTATTAAAATAGTTGTGTTGATAAATGATTAATCTTAAAAATGGATGACAGCTATAGCTAATTGTTGAGTGGGCTTAAACTGTTTTGGTTGAACTGTTTATCCTTAACTATCATAGAGGCGATTAGTTAGAATGTAGGCCGGTTTTCTGCTGTTTTTGTTAAAACTATCAAGTTGCATGTATCATCATGTATAACTGACACAGTGGAGGGAAGATGAGGGTGGGGGATCAGGTGTAAGTAATGTGTCCACGGTTTTGATTGATTAATGAAGCTAACAATGTACTGTTCAGCATTATTCTAGAAGTCTCGTGATATAAAAATTAAGAAATGCTTCATGTAAGAAAGATTTTGCTAAACAGGCATATAGGCTACATACAACGAAACAAAATGAAAATGCATTTCCTTTCACAAATATAATTAAAGTTACCTTTTTATCGATATTGACAGTTTTCTTTTTATCCACGTATATTTCCTACTTATTTTATACATTTTACGCTAGGTAAATAACAGTAAATATTATATTTCATCATGTGATATAATCGCTTTTCATAACTTACCCTAAGATTTACAATCACCAATCCTAAACTTTAAATGCTACAATAACCATAACTCACAGCATAACATAACATTTAACACAAGCAGCATCACGTTCAATAACGTAATCCACGTAACATTAATTACACATACTTTGAACATACACGAACTTAAGTGTAATATAAACGCTAACCTCAGCAAAGTTTAGGTACGGTGTGGTGAATTAGTAGAGCGTTTTACTACTAGTCCGAAGGTCTCAAGTTCGGATCTCTGTTCGTACTCATGACTGCAGGACGTCCCTGAGTCCATCCAGCTCCAATTGGTACCTGACTCATGTTAGGGAAACAAATTCGGCTGGTCATGGTGCTGACATTATTAACTCATCTTATACCGACGTCATTGCCATATGAGCTATACTTCATCTGCCCCTTGTGTCTTGGGCACAAACGAGAAAATATGATGATTGCATAGCTTTGGTTTTATGATACAGTACTATTCATTGTCAGAAAGGCCGTTCATTGTCACCCTAGTTGTGCTACTTGAGTTGTGATAAATTTAAATATTGGAGAAATATAATATTTATAAGACAAAATCGTATGTGACTTTTGAATTTGGAAACTGAAAATTGGGCCCTGTTGTACAGACTGACATGACACACACCTTAAATATTTCAACATCTGTAGTCCTGTATAACAAAAGATGTAAAATTTGTTTGTTACGGAAACCAAAAAAACCTCCACCATTTTGAATTTTTCGGTAGGCCTACTTTTAAAAATGCTAAGGTTTTTTATTTATGCAATTTAAAACATCCAAATTAAATGGCATGTGTTTCAATATATATTAAAACTTTTTACATGACACCTTTTTGAAATAGCTACTATTGAGAATTTTACGAGTACAAAAAATCGTACCAATTTTAGTATACAAAGTTTAAAAATTTGCGTATTATTTACCATACCTGTTTTTCTATGAAAGTTATCACAAATTCCCTCGTAACAAAAATGTATTTTAGCATGAAGAACAATTACTGAAATACGGTGGACTTTGTTTAATAAATAAAAAAATAGAAGTAGGCTTTTTAGTGTTAAAAAAACTGCAAACCTAGAAATACAGCCAAAAGTTACGAAATGTATGTCACAAAAATACTATATCTGTGTAAAGTGCAAAGTCAATTGTAAGATATGGGTTTTTCCAAGATGATGGAATTCAAGTTTATCAAATACATGAGAAATCCAGCTTTCCATAGATGCCAAATGCAATATGATGACTGACGTAAACTTGTCGTCTGCAACTTGTAAGATTGAAAAGAATTGATTTTTTTTTAATTAACAGGGTCATAAAAATAGTTATTTAAACGTATACAATATTTTTTTAAATTTTTATTAAAGTTATTATTTTTTGTTAATACAAAAATTGACAGATTTTTTAAAAGTGCAAGAAACCCATTATGACAACAAAAAAAACAGGAATTTTGTGATTTTTTTTACGGCGCATATCCCCTTAATTAATAGGCAAAAACGTCAGTGGATCATTCTCTATGTTCTGTTTTTATAAGCGGCCCATTTTTGCTGTACAATTTGCCAGATGAACAAGAGAGGATTTATGGCAGAGTTTAGCGGCAGTACAAACACAGAGAGCCAGCCCATTCTGTTTGGGCTGATATTTATTCCCACAGCTGACAACAGTCCTGTGATGGAGATAATGGAGCCACGGATGATGCTAGATAGAATGATAAGGAACAGCGTTTTTGTGTTGTTTATTTCGCTCTCCACACAACTGCTATCAAATAAAATTACCTTGAGAATCAGAATCAGACCGATAACCGTTAGGCTGATTTCCACACCTGACATAATAATGTGTATAAAAATCGCAAACATCCAGCCAGCTTGTTGTTTGTTAGGTAAAGGAAACCCGATACACAAAGCATTAGAAGAGTAGATGTTTACAGCTGGGATAAGGATAGGTAAAAGGGAGATGACGACACACAGACACCAGACACACACGTACAGCGAGACTAAACTAATTTTTATAGGCTGTTGTTCTAGTGTTGGATGCCTGTGGACATTATACATCTGAGCTGTGATCAGAACCACAAACACGCCAGAGGCGACATACGAGAGAGTAGCGAGAAAACCTGCGGCCTTACACAGTGAACTGTCTCGCCATTCTGTGTCATACAACACGTAGTCGTCACGGTAGTAAACATCAGCTCCTGCTATGAACAGTAAATACACGCTCATGATCAAATCTGACAAGACAATATTAAAAGTAGAATGCTTAAATGTGCTTGGGTCATAGTTGTTGACATATTTGATGATAATCACCGCGACATTACCAACAATACCAATGAAAGCAGTCAGCCATAACAAGAAACGTTTAACAAAGTCACCGAGTAGATTGTTACACGATGTAATAGGGTCATCAGGTGCAAAACATTTGACAGATTGAATACCTGGACAACTAAACTTACTGCAGCACAACTTGTAGCTGTCACCATGTACAGCTGACTTGACTGTAAGAGATTTCAAAATTTTAGAAGTGTTACTATCGTACTTTAAGTAATGCGTATTTCGTATATCTAGCGTGTTTATATAAATATGAGATTTGGAAATCCATAAAGTGCTCAATTTAGTGTTACTTAAATTTAAATAATCTAAAACAACGTCTTCCTCGCCTACAATGGTGAGTGAATTAAGATCTGAAAAAGAAAAATCCACCGCCCAGCTTCTTGTGTAGACAACATTTAGAACAAAATCTTTTACATGAGTGTGAGAGAGTTTTAGAACCTTCAAATTTTCTGCGATTTCAGAGTTTGTACTAATGACAATATCGTTATAGCTGAGATCGATAAATGTCAAATAGCGTATGGCATGCCAGTAAAAATTTAAAAATTCAAACAAAATGTCATTAGATAGGCTGCAGTTTGAGAGATAAATTTCAAATAATTGTATTGCCCCGTGAAGCTCTTTAAAATATTCAGTCCGTAATGTTATACCAGATAAAACTAAAATCCTGGTAGACTTATCTTTAGTCTGAAACAAATCTCTGTGATTCACCTCATTGTGGTCAAAGACCTCGGTGACGCTTTCACCACAGGCAAATCCTGTCGGACATGTCTCATAGCAGCGCAACTCGTCATCACGTGCAGGGCAGTTGTTAATGCCGTCACAGACATGCGCAGGGTGGACGAGGAGTTGGTTAAACCCACGGCAAATCATTAATTGGCTGTGCATTAAATTGAGGTTATATAAATTAAATTCTTCATCCTCTGCACCAGGACAGTCACTGTGACCATCAGACACCATATAATACGGTATGCAATACGAGTTTGGACATTTCAACAAGGCATTAGAACAAACAAAATTCTCGCAGTTAGCTAAGTGAGACATATCTGCACAACCGATTCCTATGTCCCGTCTGTATCTCTGGTTGAGATGTACACATTTAGCGGCCCATGTCACATTGTTATGTTGAAAGTTTGACCGAGAAATGTTTGAATATCTCCCAGCTACACACCTCACTACATGTATGTTCGCATCTTCGCGATGTATATATTCATTCCCTCTGTATAACGCTAGCATTTCTTCAACGCGTTTGATCTTGTCGTTATTCACAAAATACTCATCACGATATTGTTTGCCCAAGAAAAAAAAATTAATTTTGAAAAACCACTGGCTAGGTAGACATGTTCCATCTGATAGTGTTATTTCCATACAAACGTTGCAGTTATTTTCATCTCTCTTGTCATAGCAATCATAAACACCATCACATATTTTATTTTCTTCAACGCAAGTTTTTTTTACAACGCTCCTGTTCTTTTTACTGCCTGTCATCACATATTCAGTCTTAATGTCACAAATAAACATGCCCGCACACACGTCTGGTTCAGTCCCTCCTATTTGTTCGTCTGATGAATCAGGACAGTCTATGTAACCATCCCGCAGAAAACTGGTAGTGATAGAAAAAATGGCTTCACCACACGAATACGATGCCATTCCATGTTTTGGATTTTTCCAAAACGTTAAATCACGATTATTATTAAAATCAAATTCCTTCATTACATCAGAATAATTTCTTTTATTACTTACTTGGACAATCGCTAATAATCGTTCATCAAATATTTTCAAGTCAAACTCACAAAGTATTGCATTAACATGATCTGTATCCGTAGACACTTGAAACCAAGACTCATTAATGTTAGACTGGTTCAAATGAAACTCTAACGCAACATACGAATCTCCTTGGGCGTTTTCAATGTCAGACAAATTTAAGATGTTTGGTCTTTTAGTCCGCCAATGTGAAAACTCTGCATGTTTTATGAATTGCTTGCATACAATTATATATACACGTAGACTTACATTTGAGTTCTTTGATAAATTATCAGAAAATAGAATTACCAAAGTGTCCATTAAAAAATCTAATTCTTCAATGGTTTCTACACGAACAGTATGAGAACCACGTAAAGTTTGGCAATGAGCTGAAGATATGTCATAACTTACGAGTGAATCTGTCACTTTTAGTGTATAGCAGGAAAGCTTTGAAATGTGTGATTTTTTTTCACTTTTGAATAAAAACCAATCTGCATTACATTGTCCACAAAGCTTTAAAGCAATAAGTTGGTTATCAGATAAATCATCATTTGATGAAATCAATACATTATTGTCGAAATGTTTGTACCACATAACGCTTTCGTATGGTTTGATCCATATAAACAAACAGGTCATAAAGCTGAACATTATGTTTCTTTTTTCATTGTAATTCGCGTATGCCTCGCTGCAATACTCACAAAGAAATACAACAACGCGAGATGTGTAGTTATCGCCCGCTTCCATCTCTTGAAAGTATTGCATCGTTGTCCATTTTAATTTCTCATAGAATTGAAAATTACGCTCAACATAATTGTCCATATTTTCTATTTTTTCTAGCAGATCGCTTGAGCTGGTGTAAGAATCAAACCCAATCAAAGGATGCGTCATGTTTGGTGATTTAAAAATGGCGATTCTGCTGTTCATTGTTTCATCATCAGTCTCAGGTAGAAACATACTGACGATAGATTTTAGTCTCACTTTTTGTATAGGAGTTACTGTAGCTACATGGATGGCGAGTTCAACTTTATTTGATCTACAATTATCTAATGGGAAATTTAAACACAATTCTGGAAATATAAACAAACAAAGTTTTAATTAAAAACAATTATAAAGTGGGAGTGATGTCCCTCAACTTTCTCTAATATTCTTCTACAACGGTAGAGTAAAGGCTCCGCAAAGGCTCTTTAAACTGTTTTTACTTTTTCACATATAGAATCAAGTAGGCCTATAGAGGCTGCATTGTAATCGTGCAAAAAATCGTTTTACACTTACCTGAGTCGGAAAACGTTAGTTTTGCAAATGCGTCTGTATGTGTGTGTGTGGGGGGGGGGGGGGGGGGTGTAGGTATAGCTACCAACAACACAATACCTGCTAAAAAAATTAAATTCAACTAACACTAACATTCGAAAATTTCTTTCAAAAACACAATCAGATACATTCGCCTTAAAATATATATACCGAATCAACAAAACGGGGGAATAGGGCTACAGGACAGTAACCAAAAATCATCATCTTCAGGCTAAAACATTTGTAAAGAGTGAGAATAGAACCGCTCTAACACAGTACTTCATAGCCTTAGACTAAACACTATTTTAAAGACAAACAATATGCACCACATGAAGGATGGTCAGATATAATTATTTGCTTCTATAAAAATTCAAAACAGACAAAACAATTATAACGGAAAACACAAAGAAAATATACGGCACCTTGGCCAAACGACAATTAATACCTCTACATACTAGGATAAAGAGGACCACGGACTCCAACACTATCGACGTTGGCTATAAGTTTAAAAACATCCATAGCTAACAGTTCACAAAAAAAAAGCAATGGAAGTAGGCTGCAGACTTATTTACGATACAATACACATCACCAGGAATCGCATTACAAAAATATATTTTACGACATCATGTTAAATAATGTAGACAGAACATAAAAGAAACAGAACGACAAAATAACATATTTTCGAAATGTTCAACGTTACACAAAGTTAGGCAAACCCTAGAGGGACAATGCTAAAAACAAAGAAAACAGATGTGCTAAATATTACGCTTACAATTGTAATTTAAATTTAAAATAAATCAGACAATAACGATACGCTGACGGCGACAGCCGTTGCAGACGGCCCGCAAAAAAAAACAAATTTGACGAAAAATGACACCGATAACAATATCATAAAAGCTTGTTATTAAAAGTTTGTATGAATTATTTTAAAAAAAAAATTACTCATAATTACTCAGAAGGCAGAGATTTAGATCTTTTACTTACTTGTGAAATTGCATTTATCTATCTGAAATAGGCTTTCGAAAAATTTAAAGTCGAAAAAGTTCCACTTCCGGTTATCAAAAATCGCTTAAAAGTTGATACAGAACTACACATTTGACAATATATTTATATATGAAATTTCATCAACCTAGCTGTGATGGTACTCAAGTTATCGGTTTTACAGACACACACGCACACACAAATACACGCACATACACACATGCACACCACACAGACATACAGACAAAATTGCAAAACTGTGTTTTTCCGACTCAGGAAGGTTTTCAATACTCATTACTTCGTATGAAAGAAAGTAAAAAATTTTAAATTTCGAATTGATTGTTTTTAAATGTCTATTTTCCGCTTTTTCTTACACTGCTATTCAATAGTTAAATCAATAGAGTTTGTTTAGTACAAAGCTTCAATGAGGAAAATGAAGAAAGAGAAATGCAAACAGTTTTGACCTAAGGTATTTGAAGGTTAAATATATAAAATAATTAATTCACTAAATGCCTCCTATCTAGAATATTATTAAAAACTACCGATGTCTTCTTCTTCTTCTTCTTCGTTCTTAATTATTAGTGTTGAAGGTGATCGAGATTTATCTGCCAGTGGGTATGAACTCGAGACTTTGTTCGAATTTATCAGCCATGAGCTTTTTGCCGACTCGACCATGCCTCCAACACAATTAAGCATTACGTGTCAACTGGTTATGCGCCATTAAGGCCATTGACTCCGATTTCAGCGTGCTTTTCTTTTTGGATTTGCTTCCATAGCCTTTGCCCAACCAAGAACAAACTACAAGGCAGCAGTTGTTTAATTTTGGAGTTGTCTCTCCTAGAAGAATGGCTGTCCCCAGCTAACGAGGGTTCGAACTCGAGACTTTTCGGTTAAGCAACAATGAGCTTTACCGACTCGACCACGCCGACACTACCGATGTAATTATCCTAATTCCAAAATAGATGCAGTTTTAAAATTGTAACACCAGTATTTGATAGAGTACTAATGTTTTATTTAAAACATATATATCGATTTTGCCATATTTTTTAAATTCTTAGTTCAAGCACACAGGTAAAAAAATTGGTTAGTTGTTTTATTTTTTTTAACACAGGCTATTTAAAGCACCAAAACTAAATTAAAAATATGAACTAGTTTCTTTTTTTAACTTATAGTTAATTGAAAAGTATTGCGTATTGTATATTTATCGGTAGGGCTTATGTTATTCTCGTCGACAGTAATGTAATGCAAAGCCTATGTCTAATTTAACAGAAAAGGTATACTTACTGCTGAGTAAACAGGCAATAAACACAATGATTTGTTGCCACATATTAAGTAAACAGTTGACGTCACTTTCACTTGTTCACAACAGATCGCTGAAAAATATGTTCAAGATTATGTACTTTTTAATTTGCAAGTATAGTTGTAATAAATGAAAATGAAGAGCCATTAACAGTCATGATTGATGCCATAACAAAAGGCAATAGCGCTGGTTAATTGAACTTTTATTTCATTACATTCTCTATAAGCTATGAAAAATAAAAATGAAGGGCATCAGAAACAGTTTACAGCGTCTTTCTAGGTTTAATAAAAAAAATTTTGCAGAGCTATGTAGAGTGAAACATGTTTCTAGATTTGAGCCATATCAAAACTAACAAATGTAAGCCAAATCAATTTGTGTGTATATGACTACCGTTTAAAATAAACCGGGAGTGATCTCCCCTAAACTTTCTCGAATATTCTTATAAAAAATAACAGAGGATGGGAACTCGGGCTATAGACATGATTTTTAATCCATTTTAAATACTTAAAGTTTTTAAAATAGAATAAAATCTCGTAGACAAAAAAATGCACACCAATTGAACACCAAATTAAAAAAAAGTGCATAATAGTGCGCAATATTATTAGTACTTTAAAAATTTACATTAGTTTTTTGAGAAATTGGAAGTAGCGTAAATTAGTACTTCCAGTAAACGGAAATTACTCAAAATTTAACAGAAGGTAGAGAATTACATTTTTTACTTACACGTAAAATT